GGTTGTATCTGGAGAAACAAGTGCCAGGAAAGGGTTGTGGAGATGAGAAGAGTACCCGGTTGTGCTTCCGAACCTAGTTTCGAGTGGAGTCAGCATACCTCACTTGGCATACCACTATCGCGTAGTTGAGACTTACCCTTGCGTGCCGTAGTCAATCTTCCGGCGGGTTCTCATGGCCTCTCTGGCCCAGTCTCCCCTTAGCTCGAGGAACTCCATGTCGTCGAATGGCAAATCAACGCTGAGACTTGCAGCCTTCTCCACCGTGATGTTTCCCTGGCCCTCATTGGTGATGTTGACGCTCCGCACAATGGCATCGTACTTCGGGAAGATTGAGTAAGAGAGATCGACAGCGATTGAACTGTAATTGTCGAAGAGGGAAACGACCAACGTTGAGACGTCGTTCTCAGTCCCAAACGTGGACGGAAGCCCAGGCAAGCCAGGCTTGCCCTGGACGACCCTGTGAGATCGATACTGGAGGTCACTGACGGTATATCCAGCTGTCTCGCGAATTTGCAGTGCGGGGACCCTGAAGTCCCCACGACCAAGATCAGGGTACTCCCGTCTGACACGGCCGATCATGTCCACCCATCCGTTGACCTCTGGAGCAAGCATTGCCATACTCTCAGTAGCCGAACCTCCGAAATGGTCGGTGAGAAGATCGCCAGTGAGCTCATCCACGTGAAAGCGGTACGACGTGTGGTCACCATTAAGGGCAAAGGACGTGCCATCAACAACGATTCCTTACCAAGGTCAGCGTTGGTGGACCTGAGTTGTCAATAGGTGTGGCTTACCATTCGCGGAGGCATTCTGGGCTGATGTTTGACCAACAAGCACTGTTGCGGAAGCAGCCAAGGCAAAATGCCTCAGCCAGTTGCTACCGGTCATGTTGAGGGCTAAAGAGGTCGAATCACCAGTGACAATGAGACGCCGGATGAGCTCGCCAGAGAAGTGCGATGTTCTCGAAAGTCCTGGCTTCCATTTGACTTTTTGACGGCGGAAGAACCGGTATTTATGTCACTTTCTACCTGCATATGCGGCTCGTCCGGGTCTCCAAGAATCTCGTGATGCATCCGCTCAAGTCACGACCCATCGTCAAAATTGTCGGCGGTTCCCCTCTCAAAGATCAGCAGGGCAAGAAAAACAACTCCTCCAACATTGCACCCGAGAGCCAAAAGAGTAACGATCAACCTGCAGGATTAGTTTTCCGCAGCTAACCCGCAGTGCCAGAAGCACCGGATGCAACGTTCGGCCGGATCACAATTTTGGGCAACATGCAGCGCCAAACCCAATCCTGTTAGTTGGAGATGAGGGGTAGCTAGGACGGGGTAGCACTGCAGTGGAACACTGGGGAATGGGGAAGATTGGTGGGCGCCCGGCCTGGGGTAAGCCATGTTTATTCTGTGTAGCCGGGGAACTGTCCGGCAAACACTCCGGGCAGCATTCTCTACGTAGTCGATCATCCGATTAATAGAGAAATTCAAGCTCGAAGCTGAGCACATGAATATTTGCTGGCAATTGACTGGAGCAATGAAGAAAATCTCGGGCGCAAAGAATGTTGCCGCTTCGCATCATTCACCGATGAAGCAATTTGTTTCTCGCTGATACCGATGATGACCCCACTGTTATTAGTGCCGCCAAGAAGACCGTTGGCCTGATCCTGATCGCGGAACGTCATCGTGGGGTTGACTGGTATAAAGTATTCCGCCAGTTTTCCGCCGGCACCACTACTACAGGAAATCCCCACTCACGGTAAGCTCAAAAGGCGGAGTAACTATCTGTTGATTGGCTGTTTGCGAAGTTTACCCCAACCTCTTTCATATCGTTTGTTCTCGTATGATTTTCTAGAATCATCATCGGCACCAAGAAAAACGGTCTATCGTGGGTCGGACTGATCTGGCTTTTCGTAGTTCGGTCCTATTGTGGATTCTTAGAACGACGATATGAACAGAAGGCTGTCATTTGGCTGGTCGCAGAGTAGTCACGCTGACTCAAGTGAACATTTTGCGGAGATGTTAATTGTCGTCAATTGCCCCCTGGAGAGAATAGCCCGATTGGGTTGCGTGGCTCATGTCGGATCGTTCCCACAGGTCCATGTGAAAGGCCGTTGTAGGCATCTATCGATATAGCCAGGCATAGACATACAATTGCTCCATACGTTGTTAGGTATGAATGAGAACAGACAGCTTCAGGCCATGTCTCCAGTGTCTGTAGCCTGGATGGAGTTGAAAGCGGCGGTTGCAGCTAGTGACGGAGTTTGGGCTTTGACTAGCCGCCTGGCGCCATATGACATTGATCTGGTAATAGCTTGAACATGATCGGTATTGTTTTGAACGATCACTATTCAAAGCTTCATAGCACGGAAATTATGCTTTTAATAGAATGGGAATCCTATAATTCGGACATAAGATGAATCAAACTAGGGAAGTACTTTTTTGTGTTTGAGCTAACTCTGCTTTCGTAGTTTACCAAGGAAGACAAGACTCACGTGAAGTAAACGTGGAATCGAGGCATATACCCATGACAACGACAACTTCTGTGGTAAGCCGTAACATAAAATGAAACATCATCGTACTTGAACAGAAAGTGAATATTCGAACGGAGGAGTCGATAAACAAACCCATATAGAGAGAAGTTAGAACTAATGTGACTTGTCAGACAAATTCCACCGACAGGCCTTTCATTGGTATCTCCACTCAACGTCCTCCCAGCCCTGCCTTCTCGTCAACGTTGCCTTCTTCGACTTGCTGCCGTATATGGGCGACCGCAAGCCAGAATGCTCGAAGAGCATTGCATGTCCCGGCACCTGAACCCCCTTCACCTCAAAGCCGACAGCCAACACGGCAAGTGTTCCCAACAGCTCAGAGAAGGCAAAGTTACGACCAGGGCACAGATGCTTGCCACCACCAAAGGGGACGAACGATTCTTTGGAGCCCTTGATGATCTCAGGAGTCGGCCTGAGCCATCTCTCCGGGTTGAAGGTCTCTCTGTCATCACCCCAGACCTCTTTTTTGTGCATGACAGAGGCGCTCCATTGGACCTCGATTCCCTTCTTCAGGAGGTACTCTCGTCCCGTCTCATGGTCAGTCAGAGTGGTGTCCTTGTTCATGACCATCCTTGCTCCAGTGACAGTGTTCTCAAAGCGAAGAGTTTCGCGGTAAGAGGCAACAAGGTAAGGGCACTTGTTTCCAAGTGCCATGACGTCGACGTTTGCGACGCGACGTCCGCCTTCTTCAGTGATGGTAATGACACCAGCAGTCTCTACCTCCTTACGGAGACGATCCAGATACTTTGGCTCAGAGAAGATGTTAATCAAAAGCCAGAACATTGACGGTGCCGTGTTGACCGTTGATGCAACGGGAAGTGAGTCCATAGCACCGATTGTCACGTCGGGGAGGCCGAAAGATCGCCAGAAAGCTGCGCGACCACGAATCACAGCTGAAACAGATTCTCCTTGGTCGAGCTTCTGCATGTAGAAGCCAGCCAAGCCCTTGACGATAGTCATCCTGGCCTTCAACGCCTTGCCAGCAATGATCTTGGTGAGCCATCCATACTGCAGCTTTCCGAGGCCAGTCTCATATTTCCTAGAAGATAACGATTTAGTATACCATACAATTTTTTGAGACGTCGAGGAAAGTTACGTACCAGATAGAGTCAACCAGCTCGGGATTGTTGAACGGGCTATGCTCTCCATATAAGGCCCGAGTGGTGGCGGTGCCAATGATATCTCTCGTCCAGTGGTAAAAGTCGCTAATCTCAACGGGAGACCCAGGCTTGACAGCGTTGAACCGGTCGCCGATGTAGTGCAGTGCGTTCAAGTTCATGCTCAGTAAGTTGTCTCCGGAAAGAGCTGCAATGGTGATCTTGGAAATCTCTTCGATGGCGTTCTCCCGAACAAGCCTCCTCGTAATCGTCACATCAACACCCATTGCTTGGGCAATCTCCTCAATGCGCGCACCGAACTCCAAGGTCTTGTTGCGCATAGCGCTTTGGACCAGAGGTGCCGTGTTGATCACGTACATCTTTTTGTTAAGAAGGGGAAGGGTGCAGATAGGCAGCTTTGTGCTTTTGCTGCATGATTGGCCGTTAGTACATGTCATCGCCGCCGAGACATCACAGTATTGGAATTGTGGCTGTGGATACTTACGCGAGCTTTTCATATACTCCCGGGAACTGGGTGCGAACGCCGAGAAGATGGCCTATAATTGGCAAGTTGGCCTTGAGGACGGGAGGCTCGCGAGGGTCAACGGGCGCCGAAATCAGCTTGTCGATAACAAGGAGCAATGCGAAGACAACAGCAAGAGCTGTGGCAACCAAGGAGACCGGAGAGCCTGAGGTGAGGCGCCCAAGCAGCGTCGCTGCAGCCGTCGCATCGATAGGTACCTTGTCCGCCATGATTGCAAAGAAGAGCGGACGAGCAATAGAAGAGAACAAATGTAGAGGGGAGGAGGATGGGAAACTGCAAGAGCTATGAGATGAGTGCCATCTGTAGGCCGATTTATATCAGTCGACCCGCCCAATGGTATTGCTAACGGCATCTGTCAAGCCAGCTTGACAGCATGCTATGCAGTACAACAGTTCGGGCATTGAGTTCGGATGGTGAAACCTTCTCAGGCGTTGTGCCTCACTTCGGAGATGGGACCCTTACTGGCGGCTATTGCCAATTCATGGAATTTCATTGGGGATTACACTGAATGTCGCTAATCTGCCGCTGTTGGGCCAATTGAAGGCCCCTGTAGCGCTTGGCCAGTTGCCCAGACGTATCACTGCCACGGTTGATCTGGCCGACCGTTGCAACGCTCCGCTCTCGGTCTCGGTTTCGGGGTCTTACGCAGTCACATACGATTCCGAGAGCCTGCTGGACTGCTCCCGTGTTATTTGATATAAGAGTCGTAGATGGAGAAAAGGAAAATGCAATGTAGAAACAAGCTAAGCGATTGCTGCATTCATTGATACCAAGCCCACCCATCATCTACACAGATTCATTGCTCATTTCAAATATCATGGCGACCATTACTGGACTGCGTGTCATTGTCGCTGGGGCGGCCACTGGTGTTGGTGCCGGCACCGCGAAACTGCTCGCCGCCCGTGGGGCCAAGGTTGTCGTAGCCGACATTAACATTGCCGCAGCAAAGGATGTTGGTGCCGAGATCAACAATGCTGGAGGCAGTGCGACCGTCATCGAGTTCGATCTTGCGGATGAGCAGTCCATCAAGAATCTCATCGAGAAGGGCACTGAGTGGCTGGGAGGGCTTGACAGCCTGCTGAACATCGGGGCCGATCTGAGCCCCAAGACTTTGGGCAATGACCGAGCAGTGCACGACATGGATGCTGAAATCTGGCATCGGACATTCCAAGTCAACACCACAGGTTACGCCTTGACGACGAAATATGCTCTTCCTCACCTGAAGCAGGCCAGTGGCGGTACCATCATCAACATTTCCAGTGCAAGTCCAATTTTGTGGCATTCTAACTCATGTTGATGACTGACAAACCGCAGATGGGTGGGCACTACCTGGGTACTCCAGAGCCACTCCGAGTGGCCTACGCTGCTTCGAAAGCGGCCGTGCATGCCTTGACACGTCATACAGCCACGACATATGGCAAGGACAATGTCAGGTGCAACACTGTTGCCCTGGGGCCTATCTTGACTGAGACTCTCCAGAAGTCCATTAACGCAAGCCCTGCCATGCAAGAGGGCTTAAAGAAGGTGCCGCTGCAAAGGTTGGGGAAGCTGGAGGAGGTGGCAGCTCTACTGGCATTTATGATATCCTCAGATGCGGCATATGTCACGGGTGATATCTGGTCAATCAACGGAGGAACTCATGTCATGACCTATGCTTGAAATGATTGATTGAATGGAACTTCAACGACATAATGTGTACAGAACCTCAAGCTTGCGAGAAGTACGAGATAAATTGACAGTATGTACTTACGGATTATTAAAAGACAGCAGTCATCGACTAACGTCGCTCTATCAAGTGCTTTAATTCCGGCGAGACAAAACTCGCATGTATTTGAGAGCCTCTGAAGGCTTATGCAATTCCAGAGTCTGCATGAAATCTCAAATTTGGCGACACACAGGTTCGCATGCTAGGTTGCAAATGACACCACAGACGTTCCCCCAGGCAGTATTGTGTGAGGTTGCTTCCACCTGGCTTCACCAACACATCATATTCAACCGCACGATGTAGGTAGAAGTTCAGACTCTAGCAAGCGTCCCAAAGGCAGACAATAAAATCTGTGGCTGTGTTCCCAGTGCACTGAGTTCAGCGTTTCTTGGCTCAATCTGGCTAAAGTCAAAGGTTCTTTGAGCCAGAATGTCAGTCTTGCTTCTCAACCTTGGCGATCACCGGGACCAATGAAGGGTAACACCGAGATTCCAGTGACAAGGCTGTGGGGGAGTTGTGCTCCAGACCTCTTAGTCTTTAGCTGTGAGAGGCGAGCGTTCCTCTGTTGACTCTAGCAAAGTGTACTAGGCATAAGCTTAGTGACATTTGGGAGGCGATGACTGAATGTTTCCACTAGTGGGTAGCCACGAGCTCACCCATTTTGGTAAAAGATTTTCCATTCTTGGTAGGAGCTGCGGCTGAGATAATTGAGATCTGCTAACGTCAAAATCCACTAGTTTGACGGCTGGATGGCCACCAGTCACGACGCAGTATTGAAGGCATCGCCATGAGCAGCGTGGCGGGGAAGTTGAGTTGACATGCTTGTGGCGTTGCCAGCGCGAAAAGTGGACCCTAGCGTCTATTGTTCGGCAGCTTGCTTTGTTCCCTATTGTTGAAGTCTATGAAGCATCAGACATAAAGCCTATTGTCCCTTTGATGGACCTTCCAAGTCATGAGATTGTTTCATCGCAAACCAGTTCATCATTAATCATCCTCTCTCACCACACAGCATATCGTTATGCATATTTCTCGCCTAAGTTTTGCCGCTATTCTTGCCTGGGGGTCTGCTGTGACAGCAGCCCCGGCTAGCCATTGCAATGTAGTGGACGCAGTCTATGCAATCTTGAGAGGGCCCCTGAGGGCTGAGGCATCCCAGTTCTGTCTGGGCTACCTCGGAGGTGTGAAGACCACCACAGCAACAACGGTAAGTAGTTACACATGCGTTATTTTCTCTGGTAAATGCTGATGTTGACCCTTTACCAGACGGCCACACAATCAGGCCCGGCCCGAACTGCCACAGTCACGGTGCCAGATCAGACCCAGCCACAAACTGTCACCTTGACCAACGTCAACCAACAAACGATGACCAACACAATTACGGGAGAAGGCTCTACTGCCACTGTGACGGTCACGGTCACTGCCAGAACCAAGACTATCTACCAAAAAAAGAAGCGTAATAACCGTCCTGCATGCCCGCCTGCTCTGCGTCTTTCCGCCGAGAGTCGTATCTCAAGTGCCTGCAGCTGCATCGCCCAACCTACCACTAAGACCATCACCGCCACTGCCAAGGTGACCGTATCGAGACCTCAAGCTACACAGACCGCCCCCGGGAAGACCGTCATTGTCACTGTTACTCAGACGGTTCAGGTCACCAGCCAAACACAGGTTACCCAAACGGTCGCCGGAGATGCAGTCACGCAAACCGTCACCACCACGGTCACCCCCATCCTCGTTAAACCCAAAATCTGCAACGCGAGAGGTCTCCCAAGACCAAACGCTTTCAACTATGACGCAAACTTCAACTCCAGCCAGGCTGACTGCATCGCCTCATGCAAGACAGATGATAGGTGCCTCAGCACTGGCTTCTACCTCGTAACCGACCCTGGCAGTGGTACGCAGACTGGAACCTGCAGGAAATACGACAAGTCTGTCACTGATTCGGCGGACCTTGGTCCTGGATATTACAACTTCAACGACAAGGCTTGCTAAGCTGTTGGAAGATCCAATGACGAATTGCCTATCTCTTGATGTGCTCGGGAAACAGACTTAGATAGACGCAAGTAATACACAAGTCCCTTTTCCTGCTAAACCCATCCGGATGCAATTCCCGCTCAACATCCCTTCCCTCGGACCCTCTTCCGCTCAATCTTTCTCGCCTCTGCGTTCGACTTCTCTGATTTACGCTTGGCTTTCTCTCTAGCCTTCTTCTCGACAGCCTCGATTCTCCCGGGCAGTGGCTGAGGCGAGGGGTTGCCCGTGGAATCCCACATTCCCTCCCCGATCCACGGGTTCTCAATGTAGTAGTACCTGTACCAGCGCCCAACCCGGTAATTCTCCCAAAGGTTTCGCCAATACCGTTTGTTATCACGGCTAGCCTCGTGCACCTCATTTTGCTTCACGGTCAAGCCGTTGAGGGCTCTCTGCTCAGCGTCACGAGCAGCCTTTTCTTGGACTCGCCGTGCCTCCGTTTGTTTGGAAGACGGCAAGCCATAAAACTTGACAAGAACCTCCTTGTCTACTAATGAGTCTGGAATGGCGACATGAACCGAGTGGTGGTCGTTGAACTCGTCAAAGCCGTCCGGGATTTTCCAAAAGTCCTCCCAATTCTCAAGATAGTTCGGGTCCGCCCCAAAGAAGCCGGTCTTCACAGCCGTGTCGATTTCGAACAATGTTTCCAGGAAGGTTGCACACTTGGTGTCTGAAGAGCGTTCCGATCCTTGCAATTCTTTGATGGCAAGAGGCTGAACGGCTTGAACGTAGATTGTTGACCAGTGCAAACGGAAGTTCTTTCGCGACAAGCCTCCGAAGCCCATGAAGTCCACGTCTGGGTCTCGACAAAATGGTATCAAGCCGACCATTTCAATCTTGAGCTCTGGATTCTGCAACCAAGCCGCCTCGTACAACTCGCAATTGGTGAAGATGAGATGTGGGGGTACCTGCAACGATGAAAGCGCCGACAATTTGGAGACAGAGGGCCAGAATAGGGATTGGCTCCATTCTCGATCGACCTTCCAGCCTGATGCGTCGAAGTATCTGATATGGTCTGACGCGCCCTGGGGTTCCGGGTTCATGATGCTGATGTGCTTGATCCAGGTGAGTGTTGCGGTGCGCAGCTCATAATCAGTTGCGCCAACGACATCCCATCCACCCAAGCAGCAAAAGGTGTTGCGAGACCAGAAGATTGGGGCTGACTCTTCATGTATCTGGCGATTGGCCAACAATAGGCTCGTTCCCTCTCTTTTGCCGCAATCACAGTCTGGGATAGTTTCAACGCCGTCTTCGTCGATGTCAATCTGTGTCATGAGAAACGGTGGAGGCTCCGACTTTTGAGGGTTGAAAGTCTTGAATCTGCAATTCAGTTTGTGTCTCTTGTCCCATAGCAGGACTGGATCGATGAGAACCAGCTTGTAAATCTGGTATCGAATGTCGATGGGGACAGTCAAGAACCCGAGTTTTCTTGGCCGGGGAACCGCCCATTCCGATACGTTCGGCCGGACACTGAGTACGATCTGCGGCATCTTGAGAGAGATGGCTAGGGTAGATGTGGTATCGGGGCCTCTCGGTCAGAATGAGGAAATGAGTCGACTGGGAAGAAACGACGAAATATCTTCAGTCCTCTACATGCAATAACACAATTTTGTATTATTTCACTTGCCACAGGCTTAACGTCAGAGTATTCTGGCACGTTCATGAGTGAGTTGGTTGTCCCAGAAAGTAGTACAGTGTGAACGTGTCTGTCATTGATGCTTTGAGTGCATTGATGCTTTGAGTGCATTGATGCTTTGAGTGCATTGATGCTTTGAGTGCATTGATGCTTTGAGTGCATTGATGCTTTGAGTGTTTGAGTGCATTGACACAAAGATCAGGTCGCAATTTTCGAGCGCCCTCCATTGCAATTCCAAAGTCGGGCCTCAATGCTCAGTATCCTCGTATCCTTCAACAAAGCGATTAGCTGGACCTTTCCAATCTTCTCTCCATCTGCTCAGTGGCGGGCGCCCTTCTACAGCATCGCCTGCGCTCCACAGCATTCTTGCTCGGTCTAGAGACTCCGTCACTTCATTATCCGGACAAAGAACCCAGAACTGGTCTTCTTGCATCTTCTTCTCCAAGTACTCCACCAACTGTTCCGGCCACCATGCACCGTCAGGCTTGGAAAGACTCGTCTGCGGGGTCCTCCCACCCATGCCGGTGTGAGTCCATCCAGGAACGAGAAGATGCACTGATACCCTTTCGGTATTTCGCAAGTCGAAACTGAGCTGCTCCGCAATGGAATTTATTGCTGCCTTGGACGCGTTGTACGCAGGATAGCCGGGCGGATTTGTAATGCCCTGTTTTGAACCGGTGATGACGATAGCAGATCGATTGCCAACTTCGGCGCTCGCTTTGACGGATGGAAGGAGTGCGCCAATGCCACAGACCACTCCAAACACATTGGTGTTGAAGGTAGTATGAAAGGAAGCCACAGAGTCAAAAGAAGACTCAGGCTTAATCCCTGCGTTCAAGACCAAAAGAGCAACACGGCCTGGAGGCTGGTCAGTAATGTCGCCATAGGCAACCAACAGAGGATACCATTACGTACCCGAATATTCGTCATCAACTATCCTTTTTAACGCTACCCAGTCATCTGAATGACTGACGTCCATGTGAACTGCTTTCATGGATTGACCGTATGTTTCCATGACATACTTGACGGCGTGCTGGTCCTTGTCGCAAGCGATGACGAACATGCCTGCTTTGACACATTTTTGCGCAAGTGCCAGACCAATGCCAGAGGCTCCTCCGGTGATGATGGCGAGTGATCTCTTCTCAAAAAGCTTCTCCATGATTGTAATCTGTAATTAAGGACTCGCTGTAGAATGATGGATCGAAATACCAACTTCACTCAGAAAGGGCGCCTTTCATCATCCAAGAGACTGCCCTGCTAGTGCAGTGACGGAAGGCGACAGAGAGTCGCTAATAAGAAGCAAAGGATTACAAATCCATTCTTCCGTTGACAAATGCGCAAACATAGAGATACAAAATTTCTTTCATTGGGCCAGTAACATTTCGCTGAAGTCGTATCTTCGTTTTAATCCGACATGAGGCCGAAAGCGGGCCAGTCATTTGCGCCGGGAAATATACCCATCGACGGAGCTCGGCCGATATTCCGGTATATATTTCCCGACAGCTGCAATCTAAGTGATTTCTGAGGTCCATTCATATGCTTTCCTGTACTTTCGCTACACCAAGTCTGGTCCACTTCCCCTTCTTGTTTCTCCGTAATGGTCAGCGCTGGGGTTGTTGCGATCCACGAATCCATGTCTGTTTTGCGATATGTGTCCATTCGGGCTCCCTTCATGTTCCATCTGACTTTCCTTCATTTCTCTGTTCTTGGAGACTTGGGTAGACGGGCTACCATCGATTCCATACAGAAACCAAAGGACAACTCCAACCATCAACGCGCCACCAACGATGTTACCCAAAGTGACAGGGATGACTGATTGATAAATGAACTTCCCAACGCCAAAGTTCGTCCCATAAAACATTCCAATGGGAACAAGGAAGAAGTTTGCGATCGAGTGCTGATAGCCGAGACAAACACTACACAATAGGCGTCAACTCAAAGTCATGTTGTGACGCGTCGAGAAAGGAATTAGACTCACAACGCCCATATCGGTATCCAAATGCCAACGATCTTTGAAAACCCATCCCTGCAGCTTGAAGACATGAACACTGCCAGACCAACAAGCCAATTGCAACCGATGCCTCTCGTAAAGTTATAGCCCCAGTTGATGTTCACTCTGCCCTCTGCCTGAGTCACAGCGTACGTGGATTGCGCATCGGACTCTAGCGCATTACTCCACCACGAAAGAACTCCTGCGAAAAACAGGCACCCTGCGAGGTTGAAGATGTAAGAAACTACCCAGTTTCTTCCAAGGTCGTACCATGACGTCTTGCGTTGCAGAGTTGTGTACATCATGACAGCCATGTTGCTGGTTACCAACTCGACATTGGTGAAAATCGTCAAAACAAAACCGATTGGAAAGGTAAAAGCTGCCACAAATGACGCGAGACCCGGATCGGAGGAACGTAGGCTGGGAGAGCCGCCTGCGACGACAAGGTTGAAGAGTGATCCAAGGGAAATGAAGATACCGCCAAAAAAGGATTTCACAATGAGATCGCCGAACGATAGCTTCGCTTTGGAAAGCCCGGACCGAGTTATGATTTGACAGGACTCTTGAGCAGAGTGAGCATCGGCTTTCTCGTACAAAACCTGCATGTGAGGATCGAATGAGGGTGGCCGTGTTCGGGCTTCCGCGTGAGACATCGACATTTTGAACTATTTCTTGTTCAAAAAGGGATGCATTCCTCATGAGTGATCCCGTTCGGCAAGTTTTCAATGCGACTTTATAGCTACCGCTGCGGCACGTTGCTCTTACGTCGATATGATGTTGCGGAGACATTAGAGTGGGTAGATGACAGTCAGCTGTCTGTAATTGCAACCTAAGTTACTGATCATGCCCGGCCGGCTTATCCGTTCGTAACTTCATCCTAGATATGACCGATTCTGAGTGCCAAGTTGGGACCTGTCGATATAAGAGCAGATTTAGTATGATGAGGACGGAGCAAACGATTCGCTATCAATGGGAATGTGCCTCATTGAGAGAGCAGGAGGAATTGTGGGTCAACGATCGGGTCGGCCTGGGTTGAGGAGAGAGTGGGCCCCGGGAAATCGGAAAATGCCCCAAGAATCCCCGATGAAAGGCCTGTCCGGGCCTATTCGGTGGCTGAAAAGCAAATTCGGATGTGGGGGCTGACGTTGTGATGTCCCTCACCAGAATATCTCGCGGTGACGTAGTTGAAAGACATTTGTCATCATCAACCTATCGAAGCCTCTGCACCATTGCGCGGGGAACTAGAAACAAGTTTGAACAAACACTGAGAATACCGCGTCGTAGTAGAGCCACCTTCGCGACTTCGGAAACCACGCAATACCACTGAACATTGCCCTCCTCTTTGCACGTCAACACTTCAGCCCACTAACAAAAAGCACAATGGGTATCGAAGGAAAGAATGTTCTGGTGGTGAGTCTCAGACCAGTTCTGGAACATCATAATTACTATCTAACAGGGCCATGTAGACCGGGGCCTCCATGGGCATCGGCGAAGCTATTGCTGCGGCTTTGGCGGCCGAGGGCGCCAACCTAGTCCTCCTGTCTAGGTCTGAGGTGAGCCAATGTTCATCAAGGTGAAACTGGCAATTGTCAATTTGCAGGCTGATGGAGGCGATTCATAGCGAACCTTGGCCAAGCTTGCGAACAAGCTTTCACTCACACACGGAAACCTCAAGATTATTTACCGTGCCGCTGATGTTGGCGACTTCGACTCTGTGGACAAGGCCATTGCTTCAGCAGTTGAGGCAATGGGGCAGATTGACATCCTGGTCAACAATGTGAGTCATCTGTCTTCGAGGATTCGCAAAAGAAACTTACAAAGCATGTAAACAGGCTGGCCTTGCCTTGGGGGCTCCTGCGACGTTCCCCGAGTTGAAGATTCAGGATGTCATGACCATGGCTAGCACCAACGTCAACGGCATGATGTACGTCACGCATTCGGTCCTTAACAGATCGATGATGAAGGAGAAGCCCGGCAAAGGAGTTATCTTGAATATTACGTCCGTTACTGGCTTGGAAGTTCCGCCTTTCCCGGGTGAGGCGGTTTATCATGCCAGTAAGGCTTTCCAGGAGGCATTCACGAACTCGATTCGCAACGAGCTGGTAAAGACAGACATCAAGGTTCTGGCACTTCGGCCAGGTGTTGTCACCACCAACTTCCATTCCCAACGAGTTGGTCACGACAAGGAGAAGTACGACTCTTTCATCGAGGGATATGAGTAAGTTGTTTTCTCGGATCAATGATACGCGAGGTGGCTGATAAGTTGATTCTAGTCCGCTCATATCCGACGACATCGCTCAGGCGGCTTTGTATATGCTAGACCAACCGCCCAACATCTCTATCAAGGCTTTGGATGTTGTGCCAACTGGTAGGGCTTGTTAATACCACGCTTGAGGATCTCGATACTGACAAGATTCAAGCCCAGAGATCACTGAACGTGTTCGATAAAACATGGACCGACCGAAGCCACTGAATAAGTTCTCAACAGATGAGGCGCCTGGTACTTCAAAGTACGACATGGAATTAGGCGTGACGGCAATAATCGTTAGGAGGAATACAACATATTGTCTTCATCACCATCGGCGATAGAGTTTGAACATAATCAACAGACATTGAATTGACGGGTTCAACGTCTCTGTTATTATTTCGGCTTCTTTGCAGGGACAAGATCTCTTTGCATGGCACCACTAGCCTCTCGCAGTCTGACCCAGATCAACTTACACGTGTCTATGATGGAAGACGGCCTTTGTGTGAGGGGAGTAGCAAAATATCGTCGGATTGTCATCAGGTATTGCCGTCCTGTACCGAGGATTAGCGTCTCCTCCGCAAGGTCCTGGTCCCTGGCCAGAGCACAGGTAAAAGATCTGGAGAGGTTCGCGGAGTGATCCCCAACTTGCAAGCGTCAGATATAAAAGATAGGTTCGCGTAGGCGACCCAACCACGTCTGGACAGCGTTGGCAAAACCCTTCGAGGTTTTGACGCCTCTGATGTTGCCGACGTCGACATCGTGATACTAGGTCTATTCATATTTTGACAGCGTTGATTTGACCAGCCAAGGCAATGTGAATATAAATTTGAGAGACGCGCGCCATCATATTATTTGAATACGCATGTTGCGGCACATGCAAGGGGCCTCTCGTCACAATGATGATGATATTGTTATTCGTTGCAACCTTATTGTTTTCTTTGACACGCACTTCTTCAAGCGTACTTGCCTGAATTGTAATGAGCCTTCCATTGCTGATTTAAACCTAGAACAAAGTATTTCGTACACGACGCATTTCCTGTGTTTGTTGGAAACAATGACTACGCTCGCTACATCGGTCCCGAGCCGGTCTACTGCTGCCAACCACACAAATGAGTCGTCGGGGTTAAGGGGTGTTTGTCTCCGCGCCAAGATCTACTTACTTGCACTGCAGCAGGTTTTGTATTGGAGAACCCCTGCCAGTCAGTTGACGGAGGCAAGGAGGTTAGCGATGCAATTGCTGGGCAGAGGAGTGTGCATTTCTAACCGCATTAGTGCTCAGTCACTGCGGGCGCGATATGACTCATCTTCCTCTGCCTATCAGACGAACCTGTAACCGAGATTCCCTGACGTTTTGCAGAGGAAATCATGTCATACCACGTACGAAAGCTGTGCTTCTCTGGAAAGTCTTCGGCGCGGATTTGTTGATTGCCCCGAAGCCGAATGCGCCGCTTGATTCGTTTCGACGCTCTATCTCCACTGACATCCAAGGTCACGAAAGCCATCTACAGATCGTGAAAGTGAACTGCTAAATCAATCTTTCATACCTCCCGCCTCTGAAAACCATTGCCAAAACATGGCTGTCCCGTCTTGCTGTGTGAAAGCCTTCGAGTGGGATGGCACCCCCGTCGGCCGCATCGACAAGATCAACAATTTGCAGGTCTACGTTACCGGCAACAATTCTGATATTGCTGTCCTCTATATCCATGACCTTCTCGGATGGAGTTTTCCGAATGCCAGATTACTCGCCGACCATTTCGCCCGGGAAGCGAACGCGACTGTGTACGTACCCGACTTCTTCGGCGGAGAGACCTTGCCATTTGAACCCATTCTTCAAGGGCGATGGCACGAACTTGACCTAAAGGGCTACACCATGAGGAACTCTCGTGAGATCCGAGAGCCTGAGATCTTGGAGTTTGCTAGGACCCTGCGTCAAAAGTATAAAAAGATTGGAGCAGTGGGATATTGCTATGGGGGCTGGGCTGTTTTCCGTCTGGGCGCGAAAGAGCATCAACCTCCTCTGGTGGACTGCATTTCAACAGGGCACCCAAGTATGCTGACCAAGGAGGATATCGACAACGTCTCGGTTCCGGTTCAGGTTCTAGCCCCAGAGCACGACTATGTTTTCAACGCGGAGCTTAAGTCTCACTTCTTTGAGACCCTTCTCAAGAAAGGCGTGGCCTTCGACTACCAGCATTTCCCTGGAGTGGAGCATGCATGCTTGGTCCGCGGGGACCCAAAGAAACCCGGTGAAAGAGATGCCATGGCAAGGGGCAAGAACTCAGCCGTCAGCTGGTTCAATCAGTTTCTTGGCTGAAATGAAGATTCCTGTTCTCCACGCAGCATCTTCACGTATTGATCGCGTACAGCAGGTTGTCTTCTCACAAGTTGAGAGTCATTTACTGGTCAGTAAAATCGTACAGAGCAAAGGCCCAGAGGGATTCAAATTGAATATCGACGTATGTATGTGTCATTCTGGAAGGACGTGACATAATTGAATGAACTGCGCAGGGCTCAGACCTATGATGAGAAGTGAAAACACACTCCCCAATGCATGGACAAGGAGATGGGCGCCATTAAGCATCATACCTTCCTCAGAGTATACTATGTCCCAAGGCCGCTGATAATACACAGTCATCTGCCTTCTAAATCTGAAAGACCACCCAATCAGCACCGAGCACGCATTCAACCCGTTCACTGGAGTCCATAGCGTGGACAAAGTTGCCAACGGCCCTGTTCCGCATACGCCAAACCCACTTCTGACTTTGGTGTGCGTGAATCCATTTGGCACCGCGCAAGCCTCTAGTCCGTTCGTTGGCTTGCGTAAATCGTATTGTTTGGCGAACCGACCGACCTCACAGACATTTAGAACGTCTCGAACAAAATTATTCATGAAATCTTGGAAATCCCATTGTCATTCAGTTCCTCTATGGATCGATCGTACCCATCCGAAGATGACAAGAATCGGCGCATTTCAACTCACCTGGAGCAGTTTCACAAGACACCAGACCGTCCCGTGGCGCAACGAAAAAGTATTGCATGTGGGTTAGGAAACCGCAAGTGCCAAACACTTCTTGATTCCTGGTGTAGACTGCACCTGCGGGTATGTTACGGGACCAAAATCCGTTGATAAGCGGGTCTGGGGTGCGTAAGACCTGCAGAAAGATGCAAAGGTTCAAATCGAATGAAAGGATTCTTGCCGATAGCTCATTGGGACATGTCACTATCACCGGCGATGAGATACGGGCCTGATGGAGTGGGCGTGGAGGCAGACAAAGCTGCAACAACCAGGATGAGCAGGAACTCATGCTGTTGAGGGTACGGTTTTGATCGATGGATTGGGACTCCGAATATTCGATATATCTATCTCAAGAGGAAGATTGGGGGATTTATATGTCTAATCATCCTCGTTGCAAACACAGTAGATCGGATCTGGATAGTTATCTCTGCTTCCACAGCCTACAGCGGCTGCTTCACATGCAACCACAATGGGCTCGATTGCTGTAGCATGTATCGGAAGCTCTTCAATGTTCCTAATGCTCCTCGTAGGACTTGGAATCGGAAGTATCGGCCATTACTACTTGACTCTATCTCCGAACACTTCTCTTTGATCTTCGAGCCTTTATCAACGAATGTGTTGCATCGAAAACACGCCGGACAATGAGGCTAGCGCATGCTCACTTGAGGTGGGGCTGAAACAAAGCTCGACACGCATCGATTCTTCCGACATGTCAAGATCTTCTAACCCAAAAGGTTGAGCAGTAGATGCCGGGAGCTTTCCTGGATACACTCACCTTTCTTGGCAGATGAAGGGCAGGTCTTCACACGTGAAAGAAACCAAGACTTGAGTTGGAAGTTCCAAATGGTAACTGCCAGCGATTAGATTGGCAGGCATGTTGGTTGATTACAGACAATGTTCATCTTGATGGCGCAGCAATCAATTAGTACAAGACTGTGAGGAGGTCGAAAGGTGTTGGGATGAACAATTATTGGACTTTCTGGCATCAGATATCACGTCTCTTGGATGATCTTTCTCGAAAACGGCAACGAGAGTGGAGATACAACACGCTGGTATCTCGCCGAGGTCCTCTGAGTTCATCCCCGGTTGATGAGAAGGCTTTTGCCTCCCACATCCAAAAGACCTCCGAACTGCCCGCCGGCCATGCCGTACGCGTGGAAAATCACACTGCCGACCCAGACTTGCACCTGGCCCGACTTGTACCGCAGTCGCTAGCTACTCCATAATCACAGCATCCCCCGCTGGAGCTGCACTCAAACGCATGCGTCTTTACACGCTTGGTCTTGACAGCATAGCTACCAGCTCCAACCACACAGTTGCCGCAGTAAACCCCCTGAGTAAGTCCGGTCACACATGCGCAGCCATTGTAGGTACATGCCCGCTGAGCCAACTCAGCAGGTATCGGCTCGCGGACCTGGATGTTGGAGCCGTTGACTGCTGCAACGACAGCTGAGATGAGCAGGATGAGAGACCTGAACCGCATTTTGACGAAATAAGTTGCGATTGGCTGCAGTCTGTACAATAATTAGCCTTACTGAAGAGAGTAGTGACCCAAGTTATGGTTCACTTACCGCTGAACCGGCTTGAAGGGAAATGGAGGAGAGAGAGAGAGAGAGAGAGAGAGAGAGAGAGAGAGAGAAACAGAGAGAGAGAGAGAGAGTCAACGTCGGAAAGTGTTTAACAACGGTTCCACAGGGCCTGGCTGATTGTGCCACAAATCCTCCACTAGCGGCTCGGGAAGAAGCGGTGGCCGAAGACTTTATAGACAACAATCATCATATGATGACGGTGGTTGAATTGAAACCCCATTTTGCGGCGGCCAGCCTATTTAGACTCGTTCGACTCGATGCCCGTCTGACATCGTCGGATGCGACGTTGAAGCAAGGCACCCAATAGTTCTCTTATTGGGGAAGGTGGTTACTGCAGCTAGCCACTAGCTCATTCAGCTGTGGCTGCACTCGATAGAAGAAGCAAGCGATCAACCTTGCTTAGCATTGTCTCCAATGAACGACCATGACAGGTTGGACCTTGGGGCGTTTGTTTCGCTGAACGATGGGTGGCGTTGGCCACGCTCAGTCATTGGATGTTGTGATGGGCCAAAGGCGAGCCGAACACCGACTGAAGAGGAGATTTCGGATACGAGTCGCACTCCGCGAGCTCTCGCCCCATTGGTACAGCTGTGCCTATTGTCTGGATCCAGAGGAACTCGACGTTGGCGATTGTAACCGATGTGGTGGGATCAAGACTGTGGTAGTGTAATAAACGGCGATTACGCCGACCACTTCACAGTATGGATGCCCACTAGCTACGGATATTCGCGTGCCGAGGCCGGACTGCTGATAATTCGAGCGATCATCGCAAGAACGGCCATTGAGACCCCTCTCTCTTCCAGTGTCTGGGCCAGGCCACTGATCTGAGGCTTGAGTTGATCGGGGAACTCGAAGTCAGAATGATCGGGGAAGGAGATAGGTGTTTGAGACGTTAGCAGTGTGTACGTCTCGTAGTAAACCTCGGCATCTTTCCATCGATTGGCAAAGCGAGACAAGGTCGATCCACAATCTTCCAAGGCCTGTAGGGTATCGGGAGCTTGGAACGCTGTGCTGCGATAGATGTAGGGAGTTCCCCAGAAGCAAGAAATGAGAATAATTCCAACAGTGAACTGTTCGAGAAGCTGTACCACTAGAAATCAGTGTGCTAAACATTAGATTGAATTCGGGGGTGTATGGCAACCTACCGTGGTCCACGTACAGTACACCATGGGTCGGTGTTCCTGGATACGACGAAAGCACCTCGCATTCTCACTGGCTGCAGTCAAGAGAACAGCATGATCGTCAATGTTGGGGACGGCTATCTCGTTCTGGAATAAACAGCAGATACAGTAGTTGTAGAGCATGAGCATCGATAGCGGATGACAGTTGGTTGACCTGTCGGTATTGCTGGAGATGAGGGGAATCATTCCTTTCCATTGATCCAGTTCAGCCTTAATCTCGTGGATGGTTTGAATTCGATAATCGCTCTGGCCGTTCAGAGCTCGCATCTGCTTCCAGAACCTCCGTATCTTTGATTGAGTCCGACGAATTGCGAACAGATGCTCGAAGTTCGCATCGATTAGGCCGCCGTCGAAGGTAAGCCAGATGCTCTGGTTCCAAATCTTTGCACGAGTCAGTCTCACAGTCATTTGAGTAACGCAGGCAGAATCGGCACCAACCTTCTCATCTAGTACATCAACCAACTCATGCAATCGATGAGGCCACGTCGAGGCTATCACTTCGTAGACTGAGTAACAATGTATGAGCAGCCCTCTGTCCTCACAAGTCTCCAGAACAGCTGGGGTGGTCGTGGCGTCCAGACTCGTAAACGATCCCGGCGCTTCGTAATTCGATAATCTTCGGGCGATCTCTAAAGTCGATTTTCCGGTGTTGTCTCGTAGTTTAAAGTGATTCGGACTGTGGAGAGCATAGACTAGGAGCAAAAGGTGAGCCTTCAATTGAGCGCTAGGCCCCTGGAGAAATGCATCTGGCAGACAATGAACCACGGCTTGATTGTAAAGGGACGTGGACCGCGCGATGTGTGGGCACCCTCTGGTAGAGGGGCTTGAATAGAGAGCACCTATGGCGCATACTATTTGGACGAAGTAAGACTGATAATTGTTGGAGGGCACCTTTTGTTCGACGCACGCTTGGAACCATTCAACAAGGACGTTCTCGTCCAGAAACGACCAGTTGGGGTGAACGAGTTGGAAATAACAGGCTAGGTCGGCTCTTCTTAATAGCCCAATGTCGTTGTCAGAGGGTGGGTTGGGAAGGAATATGTTATCGTGAGTGGCGGATGGTGTTTGGATCATGGCGATGACGCCATCTCGTGATGCTGCCAAAGAGGGCGAGCTGCGCCTATGATGCTGTCAACGATATGACACTAACATCTCCCCAGGCCGTCCAACTTACTCTGAATTGACTGCTTGCATTCTCTCCATGATCTCCAAGTTTGACGATGATTGTAATGAGGGACCGGCTTCTGTGGTGACCGTGCTGGGTGATCGAGTAAGGGATGGTGGATCCAGGGTAGCCGCGATTCCAAATGTCGATTGTCCGGGAAGCGGCTGATTTGACGGATTTCCCTGCTTCCTGATCAAGACCATACAGTTCGCGAGACTTCTCTCGACCTGGGCAAGACGCATCTCAAGTCCTTTGACGTACTCCCATGGCACTGACGCAGCATCCCTGGGCTTTCGCTCCTGGAACCGAACACATTCTGACCCTGCTCTCTTGCATTCACCGCATTTGGGAAGGGCATGGTCGCACTTCTTCTTCCGATGTCGACAGCGTATACAGGCGATCGATGGTATGTCGCTTGGGCTTGATGTTCGCGTCATCTGACGAGCCCTCGGTGTATCGGTTTGGTCGGATCCTGGGCGGCTGCTTCTTTGTGGGTCGACTGGAGGTCCCCCGTACGCACTCTTCGCGTTAATCTTTGGCAAAGTTGACGACACCGTTGAAAATTCGCCTTGGTTCTTCTCTCTGGTATCTGTAGGAGCAGGAAGCGTGATGACATGGCGAAGGAGTAAGTCTGGGAGCAGAGAATAAGGCAACAGAGGCATGCATGGGTGGTCAGGGGTGATAGCCGTAGACGATGCGTTTCGTTAGAGACTTTAGGGTACAGAACTGTCGGTAGAGTCTTGTAAGGTAAGATGGAGGGCGAAGGCCACCACCCCTGGACAGGGCTGCCACGCTGGTCCGATCTCTTAGGCGCACACGGCCACTTAGGAGCTCTACCCCCCCCGCACGATTCCAAGGCTGTTCCCCGCCACTGGAGTACAGCAACACGAACTATACCATGTGATTCAAATCCGGCCATATTAGTTCCTATGAAAGGACGAGTCCTAAATTCGACGTACATCGAGTCATTGACTGCCCTTCCCACAAGCCCAGCCGCTAGTCCAACCAACCACTACCACATTGACGGATCAGCTACTCTCCCTACGCAGAAAGGCGTAGGCACAGTTTTGCCCCAAGATTAGATGCCGGTCTTTCTCGTTGCCATAATACTGGCTCCTCTGAATTCGGTCCTCTGAATTCGGCCTATCTTCCAGTGGAACCCAAGTCCGCAACAAGGTTATGATTGCCAGCAACGGCAATCATAAACCTCAAGATCAAATTTCTGCAGACTTTCCTTCCAAACCCCTGGTTAAATCACTCTCGGTGGACACTTCAAGGAGTCCGGTGGATTGTTGTTCGTAGCAAAGTCTCAGGGATCGAAGGTACAGAATCCTTTGGCAGTGATTTACCGTCTGCCGTTCTGCATCTGCAGCGGATGAAGGTCGGTGTAATTTTGCACACCACATCGCGCTACCGCATCGCGCTGCATACCAAGCTTCTGACTGGCTGCGGATGTATGATACCCGTTACATCCGCGCGAAGCTTTACATGACGCGACGAGCCATGTTTATCGACAACATCGATCGTGATGGGCCTTGAGCGGGCCTCTACGTAACTGCCGGTCCTCCGTAAAATCGTACAAGGTCGCGTTGTTGCTGAAAGTTTACGTCAGGTTGGTATCCCCGTTGCTACAACCCCTAATTTGGTAATTTGGGACATCTTGAACTACATCGCTGCATCCAATGTTGGTATCAGTTGCATATTCTTTGACAGCTTCGTTGTGGGTTGCTTGTTGAACTCTGCCAGCTGGTTGAGCAGCAAGTTGACTAGGCAATCTGGATAGACTTTCGCAAGGGCACCTATCTCCTTCGAATCCGTTCTCGTGAAGACATAGATGGGTTTTTCCAGGGCACACAGCAGCTTTCCATCCTTGGTGTACTCTGTCCGCTTTGCCCCCCGATATCCGCCCACAGATGCCGCCATTCGGGGCCGAACCAAAGAGTGGAGCCCGGTTTTCGGTGACAGACCCATAAATTGCCGTCATTGGGAGATTCTGTCGGACTGAAAGTCCGCCGCAGGAACGCCCCTTTGCCAGCCCCGGGATGATCGGCCCCCTTGGCGTGACAGGAATCAAGTGAGACAAGCCTTCTTGCAGGACCTTTTGCCTAGGCAAGTTCTTGCCGTCTCCAAAGGCCCCGCCGTCAGATGGAGACATCTCCAACCACTTGGCTCCAAGCCAAACGCTTAGACCGCGTTGGTCAGCAATTTGTGAACTACAATACTGAGTAAGGCCGTAAAGCTGCCAGGGGTCCCTGAGAAACTTTACGTGACGTTACGTCGACAGCTGTAAAGAAGAACATGAGTCGGGTCCACTTAGAGGGCGGATTAATCTTTAGGGGGAGCGGCTGCCTTATTCGTACGCTGGCTTCACTCATGCGCACCTAACGATACTCGCAAATGGTCCGCGACTCTAACTCAACCGGGGTATATAACCTACCGGTGGGATAGGAATATATTTTGATATGCAATTGGCCCGTGATGGCGGGGTTCGCTTTTGCGCCCTACGTACGGCTGACTGCTAATGCCCGTGAAAGTCTGAGGGTTCCTGTCTGCCATTCATTGAGGTGCTCTGTGGCGCCGCGCGGTGCACCTAAAGGAACCTTACATTGGAATGTCAAGGACACTGAGTTCGCTACTACTGCGAGGTATCCTCGTTTTCGTGATACGGAGAGAGCCCATGCGCCCTCAATTACAGAATTACCTTCTCATCTGGAATGAACCAGTCAGATGAAGTGTAAAACGAAGTCAAATCTTGCCGCCGCTCCATTCAACCGCCTGTCTTCATTTACGAAGTCATCGATGCGTAGAGCATCATTATGCTGCAAGAAGCCTCAGACACTGACCATTCAACGCTGTACGTGTAAGCGCTTAGCCGGCCCGTCGCAGTAAAGTCGCCTCTGTTCATTTCACGATTCTCATGGGCGAAAACCCACGGCAAGCTACGCACAGACTTGGAATTTGCTTTTATTCACAAGATCAGGCGAGTTCCATCGGCGGGCGCCTTCGCTGCAGGCTAATGTCTCACCGCGCGCATCGCGCGCATTCCATCAGGGTGCACGATAGGTTTGATGGGGTGAAATTTCAAATCAGACCTTGCTCCACAGATTCAGGGGAGCCGGCTGGAGCCGTAATTGCTGCTCGCCTGCTTCCGATCGTCTGTCAGATGTTAACAAGGATGACGACCATATCTTAAGGGACGGTAACCCTGTTAGACGAACTTCAATTGAGAGTCTAAAGCCCTTAGGCTGCGCTGGTCGTGGTTGACAGCCACGAGGTTTTACGGAGAGATTCTGCCTTTTCTGCCTGGGGCAAATTCCCCCATTTACTGTCCATCTCGGACTCATTGGGTACGGACCTGTAATTTCAATACCGAGCAAAAACGATCAACGGCGTATCTTCTTTGTTTCTTCCATGTCAGACGCTCTCGATGATTGCTCGAAGTAGCATGAAGGACTACTTGACCAGAGCTAGCATGCTGTTCTCTCATTCGGAGTTGGCCACGATTGAACGTCGACCAGGAAGACGGTACTGCGGTGAGTCGAATCGCTCAGGAACGGACAGCCTGGTAGTTATGATAGATTTTGGGCGACATCTTGGACAAGAATTGTTGCAGATGAAAGATCTTGACGAACAGTTGCATCCCGAGTTTGCAAATTGATGCCCTCATCAAACGTATGTGCAGGCAAGATGGTCCGTGGCATACAAGCCATCGGATTCACGGCGCATCAGACTTCCTATTCGAGAAATCAAACCGACACACGCGCACGTGATCACCTGCATGGCAGCCAGCAAGACCATGAAGCTTTTCTTTCAATTCGTACACCTTGCTGAATCTTTCGGAAGACGATACGGATATCAATCAGATAGGCAGCTTTCCGTGTTTGTCGGGTAAGTACCCGGCTCGGGATTACTAATACAATGACTCAAGTTAATCAGTGCATCGGACGTTGTCTCCGAAGCCCGGACTAGGAGCACCATCATTGCACAGCACAAAATTGCGTGGGTCCGATCACGGCCCTCCGAAGACCCCTGTAATCTCTCGGTTTTCGGACCGTAGTTGCGCAGGTGGTGCTCCATTCATGTTCATCAGTGACAGTAGCGACTGATGAGACTCACCGTCCAAGAAATGCTTCATATTATCAATCTTGACCCACCGAGTCGATAGGAATTGAGCCATTATTACCTTGACTTCTTGTTGGATGGCGAGACTAATGATAACGGATCACATCCCGAGATCGCAATCCTGCGTGTAGTAGAGGATTTGTACATAAGATGCGTGTGAACAAGAAGGCATCTATTCCAGGCCATATGACAACTTCACGAAGCCCATCTCAACCCATATCCTCGGCCGCATTTACGACGAATAATACGTAAAAACTATCCAATCATCATGCAGAAGATCAACCCCGTCGGTTGGGTAGGTACAGGACGCTCCCTCACTAGGATACCTTGCTGAAACGACGACTAGTATGGCCTCGGCTCTATGGGCCTACCCATGGCACTCAACCTGCATAAGAAGCTGCAACAACATGGGTCCAGCCTGACATTTTCGAACCGAACTTTATCCAAGGGGGATGCGTTGGTCGACGCAGGGGCCGTCGCAAAGAGCTCCATAGTGGAGGTTGCCCAAACATGCGATGACATCTTCACCATGGTAAGTCTTTGTCTGAAGTGGAGTTTTACCCTAGTCTGACCAACTGTTCAGGTCTCTGCCGACGCAGTCCTTCAGGCTTTGGTAAAGGAGCTCGTTAACAGTGGCATCAGCTTGAAGGGCAAGACTTTGGTGGACTGCTCCACAATTCACCCTGACACCGCAGCAGCAGTGTCAGAGACGCTGCAAGAAGCTGGCGCTATCTTTATCGCTGCCCCTGTCTTCGGTGCTAGTCCGGTTGCTCAAGCTGGACGATTAATCTTTGCCATGGCTGGCCCGCAAGCTACGATACAACGTCTGGAGCCTCTGGTCCTGGACGTTATGGGTAGAAAGGTAATCGACATGGGCGAGGATGTTACCAAGTCTCCCATGCTCAAAGTTACTGGG